TGCTCCCTCTTCTACTTTCTTCTTCTACTCGAGAGAAAACAAAGGTCACTCAAACCCCCACTGTTTTGGGACCTAACCATCCGACCACGTAGCCTCTCAACCACGAGGACAACCACTCCGGCAGTAAAAGCTCGCAACAATAAAGTAAGAACCTAAAACTTGTTTATTTCCATTTTTTATTTTCGAAATCTCAATAAATGATAACTAAACCGAAAAAGAAAACATGCAAGGATGCAAAACAACTCACCACGATCTCACCCAACTTCGGCGACAGATGCTCCGACAACGACGGGACAACAAGCGAGGAAGGTAACAAAACGAAATTTTTTCTTATCTTTTATAATTTCTATTTCATTCATAACCAAAAAATGAAAATAGTTCTCGAAAGATGAGTAAATGCTTCTGAAGCTTGCGTTCTGTATTTGTTTCTAAAAAACGGGTAGAACCCACTGTAACATCATTTTGTTAATTACAACGAATCCCTTTTGTCTATTGAAGAACCAGACTTACAAACTGTTTTCACTCCGTTTTTTTATCGTTATTCGTACCCCAATTTACTTCCCAATTGATGGTTGATAGAGTTGATCGTCCCCTTGTTTATATATTCTTTCATTCGAATGGTTCCCCTCTTCTTTTTGCTCCCCTCTTCATTTTTTTCCTCCCCTCTGTTTTTTATCTCCATTTTCTTCACCAAATTCCTTTGTCGTTGCATGATAATTTTTTTCTTTTTGGTGAGACTTTGATTGGAGCAGGTGAATATTTGGGCGTATGCAATGACGTTCTCCGAAGATTTGGGTGCTTCACGTGATGATGGTGCTGTAAGGGTGTGGTACTTGGGCTTCAAGTTGGGTCATGTAATTATTGGGTTGATGTTGAGCTTTGTAATGAGCTCTGGAATTTATTTGTATTTAGCTGTATATAAATTAATAATAATAATAAAATATTAAAAGACATGACGAAAAATGAGTGTCGACACATATTCTATCTCCCTCTCTAATTCTCCCTTCCATTCTTCTTTTCTATTTCTCCTCTTATCTTCTCTATTTCTGTAATTTCTTGTGAAATTTCTTGTTCTTCACTGAAATATAGCTTGAGTATTTGAGTTTATGACACACAGAAGGAATAACACCAGCTGAAATATATCTAGCTTTCCCACCTTCGTCCTTGACAAGCAAGAGTTTTTCTTCACAGCTAGAGGCATGAGAGTGAACTACATTTGATTCTTCATCCAAACATCGAACCAGACCCGGATACAATGGAAATGCAACAGGTTTTTATATCTGACCATGGAACATCGTGAAGAATTTAAGAGGATCAGCTTTCAGCATGAGAAAGCCATTCACATCTCGGCTTTGCAACTCGGGTATGATAACTGATGTGAAGAAAGTCTCAACATACACAAGATGGTTCAAAACAGAAGTACCCCCAGCCTTCTTCGTTGCAAGCGACACAACTAAATATATGGTGCAGTCCTTGTGCTTCCAATTGGCAGAAGGGTTTGCAGCAAAGGAGCTCAATCAATTATGTATCTGAATAGAAACAGTATCATTAACTTCCTTCTTGTAATCGGTTTGCGATTCCTTTAAGCAGTTCACAAACTATCCTTCGTCGCGTATCAAGATTTCTCCCCTCCATATCTCTTCATATGAACTCAACGTAATGCATCATAAAGAGCTCCTCATCCCTCAATCGCGCATTTGCAATCATAATATGCTGACAAATCTATGGTATAATATCCTCAGATGCAAACCAATTATGATGCACATTTGTACTAACCCTGGTTAGAAACTTCATTGCAGTAACAGCCGCTTTGTCACCTCTGCCGCAAAACCATTTAAATAACCTTGAAACTCCTCATTCTTTACCGCTTAAAGACTTTTTTTTCCCACATACTGCAGCCTTAAGCACATCGGACAATGCTACCCCATCAGCAGTACTGCCAAGTGCAAGGTATGTTGGTAAAATTATTGGAGTAAAATGAAAATAAAATAAAAGAATGTGATTATTGTATTGTGTAAGTAGCTGCCTTAAAAGCAAATCGTCTAAATTTGTGTGACCGTAAAAGTAGACATTACCTTCAAGATTAAAATATTTTTTTTTCAGTATGTTGTTGATTTGCATGCATGTGCCTCTATCATCGACCACATGTTGCTTGATGTACCAAAATTTTGTAGGTGGAATCTTAATTGCTGGGTCCTTTTCTTTGATACTCGCTTCGCCTTTTTTGTTCAAACTGTGATACATTAACATTTTACTTGTATTGATAATTTTCCCCCAAACATTTTTCTATTAATGTTATACAATAAATAGTTTTTTATCTTAAAAGCTACCGATGGTTACTCAGAGGTTAATGAATAAAATTATTAGCTCTATCTATTTTACATCATGTTTCCAATTTTCACGTCCTCTGTCGAAATCTGTCACTGTTGTCCAACAACGATATTTCTAAAGATTAAACGAATATATATTAAAAAGAATCAGATTAAAAAATTGTCTTTAATAATTAATTAGAAGGACAGACAATTCAGTCTTGTTTATAGACATGATTAGGTTAAGTCAACTCTGTTGGTAAATAAAACGCACAGTTATAAAATGTATATTGTTGGTCCTATTGGAACCTTTGGATGGTTGACGATTAAGATGTAGAATTTCAATTATATTTTTAATTAAAAATAATCACTTAAATAAAAAGACTATAATAAAAATATATCGATAACATTTTAGATGCATTCAGATTATTCTTTTAGTATTCAGTAGTTTCAAAGCTGTGTCGTATTTGATGGGTACGATATATAAAAATCTCGTGCAAGTGACCGTGAAATGAGACAGAACTGAGGGTTGAAATTCATACTATTTGTTATGCTTATGCAGAAACATTACATAGTATAACTCGCCATATATATGTGTTGTCAAATCAAAACACATATAGATACCTCGAGAACATAATATTTGAAACGATTAATAAAAATTTAAATGGCTAAATAATGTCTCGAAAAATATTTTGATATATAACTCTTTATTAAAAAATAAACGTCTATTTTTTTTAATTATATTTTTAAGTGTTTATCTTTATATTTTTTTAAATTTTTTAATTTTTCTAATAATAAAAATATTATTTTTTAAAAAAACTTAATTTATTTATAAAAAAACTCAAACTTTTAATGAAATTATAAAAAAAACTCTAAAAACTAAAATATCTCATTTCAACCCCTATTACCAACCGTCACCATCCATCTCCAACCACCATCGTAGACGAACACTTGAGTTTTGATCGTATTTGCACGGTAGTTCGAATGGTGGTGGCGGTGTGGCTTATGGACATCAGGATCGACCAAAATCGACGAAAATAAATGATGAGATCTTAAAACCTGACAAACATTTGAACGCTTCTCTACAAAAAATGGTGGCACTTTACGACGAAAGGCCAACGGGGGTTTGATCGGAGGTCGGCTTCGGTGTCAATAAAGGTGGCAGTGACGGTCACGGATGGTCGATCGACGACCATGGAAAGGGGAAAGAGAAAGGGGATGGGGGAGACGCAGGATGTGGCTACTGTTTTTTTAATAAAAAATATTTTTTTTAATTTTTTAAATAAAATTTTAAAATTATCAGAAAGTAACACGTAAAATCTCTGATGAAAATTTAGACACCTATTTTTAACGAAAATTTCTTTAGACACTAAAATGTTTTTCGAGATAAAATTTATACACTTATTTTTATATTAAGCCTATTCTAAATTTTAGCCATCAAACATTATATATATATATATATATATATATATATATATATATTATAACAATATAAATATAGGTAAGTTACTACAATGTCAATATATAATATAGAGCCAGGTCGCCACTATTTCAATGTTTTTATATAATATTTAATTTATTTTTAATCCACAAATTTTAATACATTCACGTAATGATTTATAAATTTTAATAATCATTTTGTAAATTGATTTGATTGACAATTAAAATATATTTATATTAGAATAAATTTAGATATAATGTGATTTAAATTAAAATAAATTTAAAGAAAATGTACATTTATATAAAATTAGGAGTCGGAAATTTTGAAAGCCTCAATTTTATGCTTGAACCAAAGCCTCGTTAATGACTGATAAAAGATTTAAATTTATAAAAAAATCTTTTCATGTCAATTACTTTAGTTTTAAATTTATATTTAATATATTGATAATATATAAGTTTATACACTTACAATGATTTATAAGATATAATTTGTTAGCAAATTAATTATTTGCATTGGTGTATAAATAAAAACATGTACAAGGCACCCAATTCAATCATACTAAAATAAAGAAAAATACTTTTTAATATGGCATAAAATATATAAATAGTCAATAAATTATGTTAAAACAGTTTTTTAATTATTAAAGTTTAAAAATTATAAAATAATTAATAAATTTACTAAAATGTTAAAAATGGTCATTGTACGATATAAAATAATGATAAATTTCAATAAGTTTAAGAATTATTTTGTAATAGTTTGATAAATTTAATAATTATTTTACAACAATTCAATAAGTTTAATGATAATTTGTAAGTTTCGTAATTTTATTGGTCAAAAAAATATTTCAATATAATTTAGTGATCTTTTGTGTATTTCAATATTCTATTTTCACTCATCAAACTATCCTAAAAACGTGTAAAATTAAAAGTTATATATTAAGTGTAAGTGGATCTTATATATATAAATGAATCCTTACTCTTTTATACTTAGTACAAAAACTCAAAATTAGGAAAAATAAAGAAAAGTAAATGGATTTTTTTCTCATCTTAATCCTAACATAATAAAAATTATAGAAATCAAGCCCTAAAAATTGAACAGTGTTTTAACTGGAAACTTTGTGATATGGTACAAAATTTCCATGCCAATGCCAAATCACAAAACTTGAAGCATGTCATATAACATGCCATAATTGAAGTACGCATACAGCAATTGGAAGAGGTTCATTTGAAACATTTTTTACTTCATTCTTTTCTGCAACACCATCAAAGACATGCAATGAACTGTTGCAGAGCCTCTCCTTCTAGCCACGCCGCCGAGTCAGCCGCGAATCTCCATTGACAGCCGCTTATAATCAGCTCCGGCAATTCGATTTCGCCCCAAAAGTCATCTCCGCTTTGTCCATTCCCTTCTTCAACCGATAATTCACTTTTATCACGCGGAACTACCGAATGCGCCGCTGTCGCAGCTGCGGCCTGAATATTTCTGGCCGTGCACGTCGAAGGCCTCGGTAAACACTCCACCTGGTCGGGAAAATTTAGCTGCGCCTTACTTCCACGTAAGCAAAAGGCCGCGACGTCGTAAGCTTTAGCGGCCATTTCCGGGGAGGGAAATGAGCCTAACCAAATGCGAGACTTCTTGCGTGGCTCTCTGATCTCCGACACCCATTTGCCGCACTGTCTTTTACGGATACCTCGATAGACAGCATGCCGCGTGCTGCCTCGCATTGTGTCGTGTTTGGGGTTAGCTTTACGGTTGTTGTTGGTGGTGGTAGTGGAGCTGGAGTTGTTCAAGTCATCTTCTGTGTAAGACGGTTGCTCCATTAATTAAAACCATTGGTTTTGGAGAATGGTGGGCATTTATATTTCCTTCAGACGTTCGTGCGATCAATTAAAATTACAGGAATACACTTAATAAATAGCGAGGGATGTTATTTGTCAAACATTTAAACTAATGATTTTTAATATTGGATACTATTGGGTACTGTAGTAACATCCAACTAAATAAAACTAATGATTTTTAATATTGGATGTTCTAACAAAGAGGCTCACAGTTTTACTCCATGGATTGATTTCTAGGATAGCTTCAGTTATCATGTTGGAAATAAACAAAGATTTGAAAAATAAAATAAAATATGATGTTATAATATAGTACTAGTGAAATATATAAAATTTATCAAACATAATATGCTATGGAAAAGAAACAGGATAATACAAGTATGACGTAAAACTGTATCCTCCCAAAGGCATGATGATGACCAAGTTACCCTTTCGGAATCGTCGTGGTCATAAAACTGTTGGTAATGCTCAATCCCATATAGTATTGGAAATACTATTGGGAATGAGTATTTATGGTTTGGATTTCCCACTTCCTTATTGAGTAAAAGAGAACAAGGGAAAATCTCGTGCGCCGCCGCCGTCCGACTCGGCTCGTGGTGGTGGTAACAAGAGGATGTGAGAATACTCTCAGTTTAACAGTTGTAATCATTTATGTTCTCATAATCCAAGAGGATTATATATGCACGTTTTAGGTGTTTGGAGGTACCACAGTAACAATGGGTTTTGAGAATGTGACCTTAGTAGTGTTGAATTGAGTTAATTCCTAGACCAACATTTACTTTCCCCAGCAATTAAACAGTTGTTTACTGAGCAAATATAAATCCAATTTGTGTTGTTCGCCAATAGCAGTCATATGATCTTTCAGGGACGCGTGCACGACAGGAGATACTTTGTCCTGATTCTAACTTCTTCCAATGGATCACATGTATATATTGCTGAACCATCTCCACCAATTAAGCCTCTTCGGACATCAAATGTTTGTGGTGAGGTTAAATTCCCATACTTTCTGAATGAATCAATCAATTGCTCTCAAGTCTCGTCCAATGTTACGTTGGATTATATATTAATATTATGAAATATGCAATTGGCTTTTGGATATCTGAATTTTAATGATTTTTTAAAGATTATAAAATATAAAATAATCATTATAATAATATTATTATTAATTTAGAATAAATAATTTTCTAAAAACATCAAATGAGAAATTATTTTTTGCATATCAATATCCTAACATTTTTTCGTCATTTTTCATATACTACCATCCTAAATAGTCGGTGCTTCATCAACCTTTTATTTTTGACTAATTCCTCGTGGGTTTCATCATCTCCCTCCTACGATGTCAAAGACATTACTTTTTTATTAAAAGAATATGTATTTATAAAGCTTAAGTTTTATTTATTAAATATAATAAAAGAAATAAGTATAAGATAGGGTGGGGGTTGTCCCATCCCAAAAACCCTAAAAGAAATGAGAGATCTTTTGGTCGAGCATGAATTAGGATTCATAGTCCCACCTATATGAGCACGTGAAAGTTTGGTATAGCTATAGAGCTGGGCATATGGGTTAAGATCCGCGGGTTACCGTTTAATCCGTAATTCGTGTGGGTTTCGGGTTTAAAAAATTGAAAATCGTTTAAATTGTGGGTTTTTTAGCCTGGACCGTTAAACTCGCGGGTTTAATGGATATAACCGCGGGCTACCCGCGAAACCCGTTAAAGTCCACTTAATTTAAAATTTATAAAATTTTAGAGAAAATAAACTTAAAGAATTTTATAAAAAAAGAAAATAAATTACCTATAAATATGATGTTACTTATAACTATTGTAGTTCTTTAATTTATTAGGGCGTTTGTCATAATTCTACTGCTGCTTGATATTTTTTTTCATTTAAATATACATCATTAATGTATCAAATTATTCTTCATTTTAAAAAATAAAAATTAAAAAATTTATATAGTATTTTAGTTTTATTATAGCCTTGAATAATTGTGTTTTATAAAAATATAATGTGGTTATTGTTTTATTTGTTTTTTAATTTGGTGATATAAGTTAATATTGTTTTTTTAATTTGAGTTTAAATAATTATATCATTATATATATATATTAATGATTAAAAAAAATTTAAAAATTATTTTATAATCACTTCTTGCTATTTAAAATAAAATTTAAATATTATTTATTATTTTGACAATGCTACATTCCTTTTTAAGTTGCTCGATCATTTTTAAAGGTGTAGTAAGTTAAAACATTATTTTTATTGCATTTAAAACATTTAAAATTATTTTTATTAAACGGGTCGCGGGTAAGCCCGTTTAGCCCGCGGGTTAAATGGACGGGTCGCGGACCTTAAAATTCAAAACCGTTTATGAATGCGGACTTTTTAAACCGCTCCGTTTAAGCTCGCACCATCAAAATCCGCGGGCTAAACGGGCGGATAGCCCGTATACCCACCTCTAATAGCGACTTCTATATTTTAATAAGACTATTCAAAAGTGCTAGCCATCGAAATTATAAATCAGATCATTTTTCTTTTAGTTCAAATGTTATTCACACCATTAAAATACAAAGTCAGTTACAATAATAATCGGCGTATATAGAGAAATTGGTGAATTTTGGATTTGTTCACATGAGATATTTATTTATTTATAAAAAGTAAAATTATCATTTAAAATCAGATATAAGTAATAGATTTGTATGCGATTCTTTTATCGTTCAATATATAATCATTTATCCGTACCGATAAAATCTAATCATATTATAAGCGTAAAACATTAATAATGAATATAAATTTGTTTCACAGGTTTTTATCTAAATATCACGAATTAAAAAATATTTTTCATTTTAACATATATATTAAATTATTTTTCAAATCGACATATATAAATGTGTATGGTACATGTCAAAGATATATATTTATATGAATATTGATAGGACGACGTGTATGTATTAATTTTATGTTCAATCACTCCATACATGATTAAAATATTATATTTAAACAATTAAAAACCCTCGTACCTAAACAATGTAAGATTTGAGTGGATTCTTCAAATCTTATTATTTTATATAAATGTGTTTTTTAAGTGTTTAAATATATCATTTTTAAACATATATTTATTGAGTGATTGTCCATAAAATAATGCATATAACACTTGTGTTGCTGTCGTTCCCGGCTAGTGTGTGTCTTTGACACGAAATGTACACATTTATTTTATAGATAAAATTTATATAATATTTTTTTATAATTTTGACATCACTTTTCTTTCATTTTAGTCCAACATATGCTCATGTTGTTGTCATGTAGACAGAAGATGCATCATGTAAGACACACTTTCAAAGACACTTTTCACATAATGTGTCTTTATTTTACGTGATATAAGAAGATGTTAATTTAAAAAATAATTAAAATGAATATATATATATATATATATTTTACATTTTTGAAAAAAATGAAAAGTTGATAAAAATTTATTTAATTTTAGAATCGGAAATTGCCTTTTTATCAGTGGAGTGGTCCCAAAGTCAGTGTCAACTGTGAAGACATGTGGTGCCTCGTGACAGACATTTCACATTTTTCAGTTTTGCTTTTCGCTACACCAAAAGACGTCTCTAATTCGCAAATGACAAATTCAACTACTTGCTTAAACACCAAAGCTTTCCTCTGTTTAACACAATTAATAGGTAAAATGTTATAATTATGTTAAAATTAATTAATATTTTGATATATTAATAATAAAAATAAATTTATAAGTAATATTAGATAAAAAAAAGTATTCTAAAAATTAAAGTCTAAGGGCTAAGGGTGCATTAAGTTTTATAAAACAAATATCATTTTTATTTTTATTTTTAGAAAATTGAAAACAACGAAAAAAATCACGTTTTTTGTTGAATTTTTAGAAAAGATAGAATGAAATTATGTTAAAATTATAAAAAAATTAAAAAATAATCATTATTTTTTCTATTTTTTAAAACGAAAAAATTAAAATAGAATTTTCAACTTAATAAATTGATATGAGTTTAAATTTATATAAAAACAAAATATCATTTTTAATAATTTTTAGATATTAGATTTTTTAATTGATCTGAATGCTTATAAATATAGATTTTTTCTAATTATATTCTCATGTTTTTTATAAATAATCATTATATTCTCACAAAATTAGATTTTTTATGTTTTTTCTAATTTTATTTGTATACACTAAGCATTTTTTTAAGGAAAAAAAACAGGAATTGATAGGTTGTTGAAAAATATCCATGGTAATTTGGGCCAAGCTTATGGGTTTAAGGGAATAGTAATTTGCTTGAATTGTTTAGCATTGGACGCCAACCAACGCAGGCAAAGCAGTGCGGCGGTTGAAAATGGGTAAGAATGGGACTGATTTTGACAGGTGAGTGGTAGGAGCTGGGCTCAAATGTCGTGGGATTATCAAATTCTGAGACACGCCTAACACGTTATACCTTTTTTCATTATTATTTTACCAAATTAAAGCAAACACCAAACACTATTATAAAAAAGGGTAATTTAGTTAAATGCACATCACGTTCTTCTCACCCTAATTCACGTGTTTTGCGTTTCTTGCTCTTCCCACCCTCTACTTTATTACCCGCTTTAATCATTTCAACTTTTTTGGTTCGTTTACCATTACTCAGTTTAGGATTTTATGTTGACTAAAAATTAAATGTATTATCAACACATCTTTTTATGTTTAAATAATTTTCTATTCATATGAAAATAGATATATGTATTTATTTTTAAAAATAAGTACAACTAAAATAAAATTAAAATTTTATACGTACAATTAAATCAAACTTAAAGCTTAATGAATAAAATTACATAAAATCAAAATGCACATATCATGTTACATATTTGAATAATATAATATTCATTTTTATTATTTATTTTTGCTTTTAGCAAGTTAAGCTACATTGTGCATAGACATGTATACTAACAGAACGAACACAAATGAGAATATATTCATGTACATTCGTTTAACTTTAATCGAAAAAACGAAAGAACAAGAAAACTAAATGAACAAAATGTCATGTTTTGTTCGTTCATTAAGAAATGTAATTTGCTAGTGTTCGTTCATATTCGTTCGCTAAAGTGACAAATGAACAAACATAATATATATATATCCTTTAAATCAAGAAAAAAATCTTAAAATAATATAAATAATCAAACATAAATATAAGTTTAATTAAACGAATTAAAATAAACGAATGATTTACCGAATTAAGCGAATACAAATGAACGGATTACTGTATGTTTGTGAACATAAATGAACAAACAAGCATTTTGTTAATGTTCATTCATTTAATTAAATGAACAAAATTTTATTTATATTTATTTTTAATAGATTAATAGTAATTATTAATTAGTAACTTAGTATCTTTCTTATTATCTATTAGTAAATTATTAACTATTAATTTGAATTATTTTTTATTGGAATAACTTTTTAAGGCGACTACCAAAAAAATATAAAAGAGTTAATGAACAATTCACGAACTTATCGAGTCGAGTTGGACCTTACTCAACTCAACTCAGTAAGATCTCAAATTTGAGTCTAGTCTACCCGAGTCAAGCGTTGTCCGAATCAAGTTCGAGCAACTCACGAGTTGCTTAACTCATTAAGCACCCCTAGAAAGGAATTGCACAAAATAGGAGCAAATCAAATGAAGCTATAAATTAAAGGGTTAAAACATAAATATGCATATTGATGGACTAAATTACAATAAATGAGAAATAAAAAGAGCTAAGATGGTATTAAATCATATTAAAATGGACTAAATTACAATATATGAAAAAAGAGGGATTGCAAATATAATTTATTATTTCACATCCATGGTTTCAGGTCGTGTGTGCGAATCAGACCTCAAATAATATTGTTTTGAGAGTCGATATATTATTTCTTTCTTTCTTTCTTTTCCGTTCTTTTCAAAATTTCTCGTCTCTTCTTTTTTATCTGAAAATCTGGTCTAATCGTTCATTAATGATGAGGAAAATGTTAACGTGCGGTAGCTTTAATAATACGGTTAAAAAAATATTATCATTTTTATTATTATTTAAATAATAAAATTGATAAAAATTTATAAAAAAATATTATTATTTCTACTGATTTTGTTATTATTGGACACTTTATCGAATTTAATAAAGTGATACTGATTTTATTATTTGTTCTATTAATTTTGTTATTAATAGGTATTTTTACCGAAAATATTAAAAAAAATGATGTTTTAGGTAAAAAAATCAATGTTGATTTTATAAAAAAAGTGCCTCAAGTAATGTAAATTTACATTTAAATATCTTAACTTCTTATTCGTTTATCTTGTGCTTCTATCATTTGATCGTCACAATTTTTAGGGAATTCTAAGGTGCGGCACCTAATATAAGATTAAAATAAAGTGTTACCGATTTTGTTATTATTTAAATAATAAAGATGTTAAAAAATATTTAAAATATTATTATTTTTACCTAAAACATCAACTTTCTCCTCACCATTCTAATTCACAAAATGCAGGTTCCAACCAAAAGTTAGGTTTTCTAGTCACATCGTCAAATTAATGCTAAAGAGATTGTCTAAATGTCTCCAAATTAGATGCATTCGTCAGTTTAAGGAAGTTACCCTTAAATGAGATGTATGAGTTAAAAGTAATATATGACTCTACATTTGAAATAAAAAAGAGTAAATCGTTATTCAAAAAGAAAATGATACAAAAAAATTAAATATTAGAATATATAATAATATAATTCTCGAAATATATCATTTTGTAATGCTCTCTTTTAATCAATGAGATAAGTGTTATACCAATTGTTTGACAAAAAAATCCAAATAAAAAACAAAATAAAAAAATAAAAAGAAGACAACCGTATAAAAAATAAAAAAAGGAATATATCGATCTATTTAAATATAAAATAAAGCATTCATCCATGACCATCTACCAAATCAAAGAAGACTAAAATTGAAATGTGAGATGTTCTTGTTGAGATACTCCAATTAAAATATTTTTATTTATAAAAAAATTGAAATGTCCTCAAGCATTCTATAATTACTCACCCTTAACACACTTACTTGATTTTCAGTTTACCCTCCTTTAACACACCTGCTTGATTTTCAGGTATATTAAGATACTTTTCGCACGACGTTTTGACAATAAAATACTTGTGTCTAAATGTTAAGGCCCACGTTCATATATAAAATTACTTTTATAGATATAGAATTTCTTTTTAAAAGACTAAAAATATCATTTATTATATTTTTATAGATGTATGTTTTTTATTTTTAAATTAAATATAATTATAATTTTGAAAAATATAAGTTAAAAGCATAAATTCTCAAAACTAGAGATCTTTTTAGAAATTTTTAATATTTTAAAAGTTTTTTTATTCTTATGATTTTTAATTGTTTCTTTTTATATTTTCTCAATTTTGATTGCACGTGATATGTTCTCATTAAGACATAAGTTTTCTTAATGGTAATGATGAAGAGATAAATTATTAGGTAAAATGGTTGTACATGGATAAACTGATGAAAAAACAGTATAGGGATTAAATTGAGAGCTAAGTTAGAGTACAAGTGATAATAGCTATTAAACCTATTGTTACATGTCACTGTTCAGCATGAGATATATTTTCTTTTGGAAGATTTGTATGATTTGTGTGTCAAACAGCAAAACCATTTTCATTATCTTTCACATTATTATCATTGAAAGCATTAATATATTATTATAGCACGAGAAATGATTTACAAAACTATATCTTTACAACAAATAATAATAATAATAATTAAAAAGGAAAAAGAAAACTTCGGCTTTTACCATCTAACTTCAAAATCAATTAAAATTAAATCCAAAATTTTACTATAGTTAGCATTTAACCCTAATCTGCCTTGCTTTTTGGAATTAGGATTTTACAAAAGGAAAAGAAAAAACAATTCCCCTTCTCAATTTCCTCTCTTGTTTTTCTACCTTACGATTTGTTGCGGAAAGGGAATTTGAACGAAGGCCTTATTTACTTCTTGTGTTCTCATCTTTAACTGGTCCTCTTTTTTCTTTTCTTTTTCTGGGGAACTATTTTTTGTGCATGTGTTTTTTGTTTTTGACAGTGCACTGTGACTCGTGCTCACTCTTCTGCTGATCCCAATTTTTTTCTTTTTTCTTTTTGGATTTTCTGGATTGGGTTGTTTGGAGTGGTTTAGGAGATGAAAATTGTATTGGGTATGGGAGATGGAGCTTGGAACGTTGAAGATAAGGCTATGGTTGCCGCTGTATTAGGAACAAGAGCATTTGATTACTTGATGTCAAGCTCGGTTTCAAATGAGAACCTTTTAATGACCATAAGCAATGATGAAAATCTCCAAAACAAGCTCTCAGATCTCGTGGACCGTCCCAACGCTTCTAATTTCAGCTGGAACTACGCCATTTTCTGGCAAATTTCGAGGTCCAAGTCCGGCGATTGGGTCCTCGTTTGGGGCGACGGGTGTTGTCGAGAGCCTAAAGAAGGAGAAGAATCAGAGACGACTAGGATTCTTAACCTCCGCCTCGAGGACGAGACTCAGCAGAAGATGAGGAAAAGGGTCTTGCAGAAATTACATACTTTGTTCGGTGGATCAGATGAGGATAATTATGCACTTGGCTTGGACAGACTTACTGATACTGAGATGTTCTTTTTAGCTTCCATGTATTTTTCTTTCCCACTAGGAGAGGGAGGCCCTGGGAAGTGTTTTTTGTCCGGGAAAGATGTATGGGTCTCGGATGCATTGAGATCGGGTTCGGATTATTGTGTTCGGTCTTTCTTGACAAAGTCTGCTGGAGTTCAAACCATTGTTTTGGTCCCTACTGATGTTGGTGTTGTTGAACTGGGGTCGGTTAGATCTGTGACGGAAAGCTTAGAGTTGTTGCAGTCGATAAGAAGTTCATTTCCATCGAATTCTTCGGTTCTTGGAGGAAAGCAAATGGCTGTAGCAGCAGTACCTGTGGGGAATGAGAAGAAACATGAGAATTCTTCCCATTTTTCAAATTTGGGGATTGTGGAAGGTGTTCCAAAGATTTTTGGGCAGGGTCTGAACAACATTTCTCATGTTAATTCCATTCATCGGGAGAAACTCGCTGTTAGAAAGATGGAAGATAGGCCAACCTGGGGAGATTATGCTAATGGTGGTAAGCTTCTGTTTTCGAGGAATCAAAATGGCGTTCATGGTTCCGGTTGGCCATATGTACTTGGTGGGAAACAAGGGAGTCCTACCGACTTCTATGTTGCTCAAAATGAGGAAAATAATATTCAGGAGCTTGTTAATGGGGATAGGGAGGAGTTTCGGCTTAATCACTACCAGTCACAAAAGCCTGTTCAAATCAAAATTGATTTTTCAAGGGCTACCTCAATGCCTTCTTCTGCAGCTACTCGGCCATTAAGTGCTGAATCTGAGCAGTTGGATGTTGAAGCTCCTTGCAAGGAAGAGAAGCCAAGTGCAACTGATGAAAGGAGGTCCCGGAAAAGGGGTCGTAAGCCTGCTAATGGTAGAGAAGAACCTCTTAATCATGTTGAAGCCGAGAGGCAGCGTCGCGAGAAACTGAAGCAGCAGTTCTATGCCTTACGAGCTGTGGTGCCCAACATATCCAAGATGGACAAAGCTTCATTGTTAGGAGATGCAATTGCTTACATCAATGAACTTCAGGCAAAACTTAAGGTCATGGAATCAGAAAGGGAAAAGTTCAGTAGCACTTCAAGGGATTCGTCAGGGTTAGATACCATTGCAAACACAGAGAATCATATCGGAGAGGCTAATATTGATGTCCAAGCAGTTCACGATGAGGTTGTTGTAAGAGTAAGCTGCTCTTTAGATTCACACCCTGCATCAGGAGTAATCCAAGCATTCAAAGAGGCAGATATCAATATACTAGACTCGAAACTCGTTGCAGCAGATGATTCTGTGTTTCATACATTTGTTATCAAGTCTCAAGGATCTGAACAGCTAACAAGGGAAAAGCTGATTGCCGCATTTTCACGCCAACCAAATTCGTTACAGCCATTATCATCATCTCTTGGATAGCACACAATTGCATTTTAACATTGTCCATAGGCATAAAAAAAATTAATGTGAAGAACCGGATTTGAAGCTTCTTCAGAGGTTTTCGGATTATACAGCAAGGGATCCTTAAAACAGGAGCCTGAAGGGCCTGGTAGGAGTAGAAACAACTGCTTATTGACCAAGTAGGCAGCAAAGTTTATGTGATTTGTTTGTATATTATATACATATATTCTGGCATAATGAGTTATTTTTGCAAGATAAATTAAATTTCCATGTTTAGTTGGCTGTTTTGAATCTGGTTTTTTGTACTTTATTTCATCATAATCGCCATGTTACAATTCAATATGCAAATTGGTTCCTTTTGCAAGTGATCTGCAAGTGTTTTGTTTAAATTAAGAGCTACCAAATTGGTCGTTGCATAGTTAACTTAGATACCACTATTTCACCCACTTTTTAAGGACGCATATATAGGCCGAGTCTTTAGTCAAACATGACAGACTCACAGGTGAAAACTGAAAACCAAATAAATAAAAAACTTGCAACTGCAGTCCACCAGAATCTATGACAAACAAGTCATTTTAGCAACTTGGTAATTGTTCACATGCTCCAACATCTCTCATTAGGGTAGTTCTGCTGTAGGGTAGTTCTGCTATGCGACGCTTAAAAAACGGTTAATATACGGCGTGATCGGTTAAACAAGTGATCGATTAAAATTTAGATCGATTATGTTATATTATTTAACCGGAAATATTATCAAATACAATAACATATTAGGTAACGCTTATATAATGTAATAGATAGCGCTTATATAATAAAATAAGTATTTAACCGGAAATATTATCAAGTACAATAACATATTAGGTAGCGCTTATATAATGTAATAGGTAGCGCTTATATTAACCTATTTTATAAGTAAATCAGTATATTTATACCGGTAACATTACAAATTTACCTATTACATTATAATTATCGGTTTCGATATTTTTTGGATCAATACTTTTTATAAATGTATCGACACTATATGCGTTCACCTTTTGTCATTTATAGACCGATTTTATCATATTTTTACATGTTATATTATTATGGATCGATACATTATTATAAAGTATCGACACTTTATTAGCGCTATAACTTCTTCTCTTATTAATTCCAAAAGTGTCGATACTTATAATAAATTATCGACACTTTCAACATATCCGGTAACGATTTGCCTGTTTTGTCATTTCGAGACTGGTTTTGTCATATTTTTACCTGTTATATTGTTATGGATCGATACATTTTTATAAAGTATCGACACTTTATTGGCGCTATAACTTCTTCTCTTTTAAATTCTAAAAGTGTCGATACTTATAATAATTATCGACACTTTCAACATAATCGGTAGCGCTTTACCTGTTTTGTCATTTCGAGACCGGTTTTATCATATTATTACCTGTTATATTGTTATGGATCGATACATTTTTATAAAGTATCGACACTTTATTGGCGCTATAACTTCTTCTCTTTTAAATTCCAAAAGTGTCGATAGTTATAATAAATTATCGATACTTTCAACATAACCGGTAGCGCTTTACATGTTTTGTCATTTCGAGACCGGTTTTGTCATATTTTTACATGTTATATTGTTATGGATCGATACATTTTTATAAAGTATCGACACGTTATTGGCGCTATAACTTCTTCTCTTATTAATTCTAAAAGTCGATACTTATAATAAATTATCGACACTTTCAATATAACCGGTAGCGCTTTACCTGTTTTGTCATTTCGAGACCGGTTTTGTCATATTTTTACATGTTATATTGTTATGGATCGATACATTTTTATAAAGTATCGACACTTTATTGACGCTATAACTCTTCTCTTTTAAATTCCAAAAGTGTCGATACGTATAATAAATTATCGACACTTTCAACATAACCGGTAGCGCTTTACCTGTTTTGTCATTTCGAGACTGGTTTTGTCATATTTTTACCTGTTATATTGTTATGGATCGATACATTTTTATAAAGTATCGACACTTTATTGACGATATAACTTCTTCTCTTTTAAAAAAGGTAAAATTTACCTGATATGTTGAAAGTGTCCATACTTTTTATAAAAAAGATCCATATTTTTTTAAAAGTTATGTAATTTATGTTTCAATTTTTTTTAATAGTGTTTCATGTTTTCCACCAACAATATTAATTTAATAATTTCATTTACACAAAAAATTATTTGATTGTTTTGATATTTTATAAAATATTATTTAGAATTTAAATTTAACAATATGTTTAGGTAGAAAATGTATTGACACATATTTAGGTAGTTATTGTACATACCTAAATATGTATTGCGAATTTAATGGTGTACCCACCCTTTAACTACCATTACCAATACCACATCCTATTGAAAGCAGCACGACTGAAACATGTTCAAAATGAACCTTTGCTTACATCTCCATCAACTCCGGGACCACTGAACTTGCACAACAAAATTTTTGACATGGATCGTACTGATGTAGACAATGTTAAGCCAACCGAGGAATGCCATGAAGTACATAATGTTGATGAATCTGACAGATTGGTTGGTCAGCTCTTCTGTTCACGTGATCAAACTTGGTACTTTTACAAGGGATTCGCACGGGAACATGGGTTTAGTGCACGTAAGGGAACAACACGGCTTGACGTGGAAGGGAATGTGAAGACATAAGATTTTTGTTGTTCCAAAGAAGGGTTTCGAGGATCAAAACTCAATACTGTTGATCGTCAACGTGCTCATACGCCAGTCACAAGAACAGGATGTAAGGCTAGAGTCTTAGTTACAGCAACAAATACAAACGATCAGTGGGTTATAAGTAAGTCTGATAAGAAACATAATCATGCATTGTGCACACCTGCTATGACACCATTTATGCGTTCTAATAGAGCTGTAAGTAAGGCTGATATCGATGAGGCAACAACATTGAAAGAGGTCGGTGTTGGCACGTCACAAGTAATGAACTATTTAACGCAACAGGCAGGGGGCTATCATAATGTTGGATTTACATATAAAGACCTCTACAATGCACTTCAAATAGGTAAAGCAAAGGAAATCGTCGATGGGGATGTGAATGCGCTTATTGCCTACTTTGATTATAAGAAACATGATGATCCCGAGTTTTTTATGACATACTCGGTAGACGAATCGGGGGCATTGATAATCTTATTTGGTCGGATTCTACATCGAGATCGGATTACACATGCTTCGGTGATGTAATTGCGTTCGACAAAACGTACAAAGATAATTTGTATGGTCGACCAATTATGCCTATTGTCGGTGTCAATCATCACCATAACACAATTGTGTTTGCCACTGCCATAATCGCTGACGAGATGTCTCAATCTTTCGAGTGGGTGCTACAGAATTTTTTAGAAGCCATGATGAATAAATCACCTATTTCAGTTGTCACCGATGGGGATAGGGTAATGCAGAGGGCTATCAGATCTGTTATCCCTTATGCTAAGCATAGATTATGTTCTTGGCATCTTTCTCGCAATGCACAAGCTAATATTGGTGACCCAAAGTTTACAGCAGTATTCTCAAAATGCATGGCTTCCTGGTGGACAACCGAGGAATTTGATATTCAATGGCGTTCGGTTGTTTCAGAATTCAACATCCAAAAACATCCATGGGTGATTGAGAAGGGAAATACACGACACTTATGGGCACAAGCATACCTATCCAGTCATTTCTTTGCCAATATTCGCTCAACACAAATGTGCGAGTCTATGAATGCTTCACTAGCGATTGCACTGAAAAACAAGAAGACATATTTAGATGTTATTCGTGCAATTGAAGATGAAATTAGTAGAATGCGTATGAACGAGTTGAAAGCGGATTACTTAAGTTCCCATACGAAGCCCTTCCAGATCACAAAACTGGTCGACCTTGAAAGCCATGCCGCTGCGATTTTTACCCGCGAATCTTTTCGTGCGTTCTAAGATGAACTTATACGGGAGACATTGTACCGGATTGAGGCAGAGATTAAGTCCTTATCAGATGAATGTCAACATTATATTTTCTCAAAGTACGCAGAAAAAAATAGGAAATTTGAAATTAGTTTTGATTCTCGTGCGAAAACTCTAATTTGCTCCTGCAAAAAATTCGAGACTGTTGGACTTACGTGTCGCCATCAACTTCACATTTTGAAGCACTTGGATTACACATATTTGCCCGAGACTTTGATTCAAAGTAGGTGGAATAATGATGCGAAGGCTTCTGCACCCAGTTATGTTGACATGAATGTGTCTCCAGAAGTGATGCAGATGGCAAGGTTCGCTACTCTACGTTCAACGTCAAGTAGGTTATGCTACATTGCATCAAAGACAGACGAGTCTTTCAAAACCGCAAGAGATGAGATGAAAAAACTAATAGAAGAATTATAAAACTCGTTTGGTTTGAATGATTCAGTCAACCAGAGCATTGTAGTAAACAATATTCGTGACCCTCAACGAAAACAACGCAAGCGAAAAAAAGTGCCGAAGAACAAGGTCGAGAAGAAAATTAGGCGATGTGGGTACTGCAACGGTGAGGGACATAACAAACTAACATGTCCTCAAGTCAAGCTCAGTTTGAGTACAAGAACACAACCTACATCAACTGATTTTTTCGAAGACAGAATGGAATGACAACGATCTGCATATATCGTAAGTATCAACATGACTCCTCTCCTATTGTGTATAAGATGTACATATAAATATTGAATGAAGGAAGAAAAACCGCGTTACTTAAAAGTATGGACACAATATTAAAAAGTGTCGATATAGGTTGTAGACCTATTCTCTCATAAAATCGGTATATTTATACCGATTATATTAAAAAATTACCTATTACATTATAATTGTGGGTTCTGATGTTTTTTCAATCGACACTTTTTGAAAAGGTATCGACACTTTTTTCATCCATTCTAGACATAAAGTAGCGACACAATATTAAAAAAGTGTCGATATAGGTTGTATACCTATTCTCTCATAAAACCGGTATATCTATATCGGTTATATTACAAAATTACCTATTACATTATAATTATTGGTTCTGATATTTTTTCAATCGACACTTTTTGAAAAGGTATCGACACTTTATGCTGATATTTTTTGGGTATAATGAAAATTTACCCATTATAATATAATTATCAGTTTCGATGTTTTTGGGGTCGTTACTTTTTATATATTGATCGAGACTTTATGGGAGACTTTAAGTTTGGATACATTTGCAAGCAGATGTAAAATACATTAATAACTAGTATTGATATTTCAACAATCCTCAAATG